CTTACGTAAATGTCTCCTAAAATAAAAAGATAAGTGTACACCAAAAATATAAAATAAAAAAATAAGTTGCATAAATTGCTCTTAAAGTTAATGAAAATATCACCAAGTTCTCATCTATTTTAATTATGCATAATCTTTAACAACAAAAGGAATGGTTGTATAATTTCAATGAAACTCAAAAGTATGTGGACTTTAATTTTCTTCGTAAATACTCCTCTGGTCCTTAATATAGGATCCAATTTTTGAGTTGGTTTTTATCCTAAATATAAGACCCATTCTCATATTTATCAATTTTCTCTAAATTACCCCTATGGATACTCTCTCAACCATAATCAAGTAGAAGAGAGAGATGGGGTATTAAGAAAGATGATTATGGTGTTTTAGGAAAAATGTGTCACTTTTCTTATAATTAACTAACTTACCTAACTTCCTTAATCTAATCAAATTAGTTAAATGGGTCTTATATTAAGGATCGGAGGAGTAACATGTATAATTCATGTTTTTCCTGGTTTGGAGATATTTAGTAAGTTTTTTAAGGAAAAGAATGCCATTTGAGTTGAACAAAATTCAGTAGATGTTAAAGCAGGCCCCTCACATTTACAGAAATAAGGAATAGTGTAAATTTAAGAAGCAGTGGATCAAAAAAAGTGTGAATTTCTGTAGTTTTTACAGTGGTAATAATATCTATGTAACTTGAGTAATTTTGAGGAATGCTTATCCATTTGTGCGTGTGAACATAAAATATAAATATTGGTCAAGAGGATTCAGTTTCGTTGTGGGGAATATTTTGATGGAATCGTTTCAGAATCTTGTTATGCCATTATTATTAAATATCTAAGGGTGGGAGATAGACATAAAATCCATGGTGGGAGCCTGAGAGGGGAGGGATTATATACACACACACACAATGCATATATATCAAAGATAACGAAAGTTATTCACATATTCATCCCAATTAATTACGAATTAAAATCCCAAAAGAAAGAGACTAAAACACAAAACAAACCCAAATCAAGTAAAATCAAAGATTTTGTATCTGAAAATAATCTTACTTTAACAAACGCAAATGGGGATATAATGAGAAGTTGTAAAAGATTTTTTTTTTTGTCAAGAAAAAAAAAAGTTGAGTTAGGTCGCAAAAGTTCATTAGGATTAGGAGATATTTTCAAACATAAAAAGCAAGTATAGATATATTTTAAATTTAAAAGCTGTATAAATTGTGGATCAAGTTCTTATTAACTAGATTAACTACTATGAACTATACATCAGAGTTTTTAACTTCTTCCACAATTAAAATACTCACTCCAATTCTAAATATAATACCATTTCGATCCTAAATATAAAACACATTTTATAATATAATTTATTCTATAAAATAGGTTTAATATTTAGAACCGGAGGAGTATTTAATTTGTATAGATTGTTTGAAAATATGGTGTTCTTTTTTTTATTTTTAAGTTTGCCACACTCAGTCCATTTCCTAAAATCATGAGTAAAAAAATCTCTCTTTTGTCCACATTGTGACATTAATTAATTTATGAGATTTATGCAAAGGGTAGCCAAGCATTTCTTAACACGAGCATGAATCCAATGGCATGCCTCCAAATGGGTACATATCAATGGGACCATTATTTCTTTGCCATGTGACATAATCACATAATAAGCTGATTAAACAAATTATGAATTGGTTATTATTATTCCATATTATCGAACATAATCCTAAGAATTAATAAGGTCCACGTGTTTGCATGTCCCTTCCATGGTTTTGTTGGCACTGAATCGAGTTTTGTTTCTTCTTCGCGAGAGACTTTCCAAAGTTGGGGAAGCAAAGAGAGAGACGGAAAGATAAGAATCCCATTTCCTCCACAAAATTTGCAATTGGCAGGGCAATCAATTACGTGGAGAAATCTAAGCTGAATATAATGGCCCCTCCACTCCACTAAGCTCCGAACCATCAAACATCAGGCACTTGAAGCCTAAACGCCATCCTCAAATGAATAGAGACAGGAAGATATAATAATTTTTACATCTAAAAGTAAATACGGTCTTACGTCATCCTTTCAGTTCTTAATATATAAGTTAGTTTGACTTTTAATTTGATCTTAAATATTAGACCACAATCCACTTTGTCTCTCATATTTATTTATTCTTTTCAAAGTAATCCTTATAATAGTTACATATGTTAAATGTTCCATCAAATGATAGTTCTAACTAATACATTTAATTAGTAAAGATATTCCACAGAACTTAGTACCTATTCATTACAAAAAAACTAACTTAACAAACTTCTTTAGTTAACTAGTTTTTTTTATATTAAAGATTGGAGGCAGTGTTTAAGAAACTTTCTATATGTTTGGGTGGGTAACAAATTAAAAGTCATTTCTAAAGCAGAATATTGAGAAACTTGGGTAATTCTCAAATTTTAGAGAATCCATTTGCTGGTTGGTTCACCGACATATATGATTGTCATCGTTCTACTGGGGAAACGAGTTCCTCCTAATCTTCTCAAGAAATATGGAACTTTCTTGGTTCGTGACAAAAAGACACTTCAAAATCTTGGAAGTTTTACATCTAACAGTAAATATGGTCTTATAACATCTATCTCCAGTACTTAATATAAGAGTTAATTTGACTGTTAATTTAATCCTAGATATAAGACTACAATCTATTTTGTTTCTCATATTTATCTATTCTTTTCAAAATAGTCCTCGTAATAGTTATATATATTAAATATTCTATCAAATGATAGTTCTAGCTAATACATATAATTAGTAAAGGTATTCTAGGAAACTTAATACTTATTCATTACAAATAACTAACTTAACAAATTCCCTTAACCTACTCAAATTAGTCAACTATAACTTTTTTTATATGAAATACTGGAGGTAGTATTTAAGAAACTTTCTATGTTTGGGTAAAAGTTATTTCTAAAGCAGAATATTGATAAACTTGGGTAATTCTCAAATTTTAGAGAATCCATTTGCTGATTCGTTGACCGACATATATGATTGTTATCCTTCAGCTGGGAAAACAAGTTCCTCCTAATCTTCTCAAGAAATATGGAGATTTCTTGGTTCGTGACAAGGGACACTTCAAAACCTTATAAGTTTTACATCTAAGAGTAAATATGGTCTTATAGCATACTACTTCAGGTACTTAATATAAAAGTTAATTTGACTTTTAATTTGATCCTAAATATAATACTACAATCTACTGTCTCTCATATTTATCTATTCTTTTCAAAATAGTTCTTATAATAGTTACATATATTAAATATTTCATCAAATGATAGTTCTAGCTAATATATATAATTAGCAAAAATATTCTAGGAAACTTAATACCTATTTATTACAAATAACTAACTTAATAAATTTTCTTAATATACTTAAATTAATCAACTAGTTTTTCTTATATTAAAGACTGGAGGTAGCATTTAAGAAACTCTCTATGTTTGGGTGGGTAACAAATTAAAAGTTATTTCTAAATTTTTGAATATTGAGAAGCTTGGGTAATTCTCAATTTTTAGAGGATCCACTTGATGATTGGTTCACCGACATATATGATTGCCATGCTTTAGCTGGGAAAACAAGTTCCTCCTAAGCTTCTCAAGAAATATGGAAATTTCTTGGTTCGTGACAAAAGACACTTCAAAATCTGATCTTTAAGGACTGGGTAGAATCAGTCGGCACCGAGGATTGGAAACTGTTACATTTGAATAGTTACTGCCAAGAAATGGATTAGAATGTTCAAAAGCGTGTTGAAAGAAAGAGTCCAAGATTAACAATAATAATAATGAAAGCAAAGACTTGCTCAGAACCACAGGTTCTTTCCTACTAAAAAGGACCTGTAGCTTTTTTTATAATTCTTATCTAAACAGCGAATTCGATCGATCAGAGCCAATAGAATTCTTGAGATTTTTTTTGTCCACGAAAACTGAGCTTAATTTTGGAGGATATTGCAGAAATCGATGTCATTCTTGCTCACTTGGTGGGGTTTCTCTACTGTATTCGTTGGCAACACAAAACCATCCATTATTTATCATGCCAGAACCAATAATTTTTGTACCAAAAAAAGCAAAAAACAAAATATAGCTGCTTCGTCCATAAAAGATGTTAACTTTACCATAAAAAGCCAGCCTTCTTTCTCTCTTGTTTTCCGGGTTCTTTTCGGCTCCATCCTCTGCAAAGCAAACATTCACTAAAGCCTGGTGGGCCAGATTACGGAATATAAGGATTAAGTATCTGGACATTGGTGACGAAATAAGATGTACAATAAAAAAAAAAAAAGATGTACAATTCCTCTTCTTTATTAATTTTTATTTTAATTTTAAATATAACATTTTAATTTATTTTGTTTTTCATATTGATGTATTTTTTTCTAAAATTATTTTTGTAATAACAGTAATTATAGCTAATACATTTGATTAGCAAAGATATTTTAAAAAAAACAATACCCATTTATTATAAATAACTAACTTAACTTATTTTCTTAATTATTTAAATTAATCAATTAATTTTTATATTTAGTACGGAGGTAGCATCAGTTTCTTGAAGCATAGTCACATGATTTGCGTCTCATGTGAGAAATTCAGATTTCAGAAATTAATGAAGCATCCTCCCAGGAAGGTGCTTCAAAACAGTACTGCACGTGGGTCCCCATTGAAAAAGCGCTGGAGGCCAATCAGAGAGAAGAGAAGAGGCCTATGTTTGAGTAAATAGATAAGAATGGATGAGGTGGAAACACGTAAGGGTCAATGTGGAGACACGTAATGGTCACATAGGATCTGTCTTGTTTTGTATTGCCCTCATGTAGGATCTGTCAAGTGGTGAGCCGACCTGTTTTTCTAATGTTTTTTTTGCCCTTTTTCACTTTTCAACTATACCCTACCAACACAGTCAACTTCACCTCCTGCCTATAAATTGAACCAATCGACCCCTCTCTTACTAATTCATTCATATATTTCCTTCCTCCATCTTCAAACTACAACCAGAAACAGAGAAATGGCTCTAACACTTCGTTCTTCAAATTCATTCTTTTCTCAAACACAAACCCAAGTTCCCAAACCTTCCGACGACTCCTTGCCTTCCATAGTTTGCTTTGCAAGGATCAAACCATCATCATTCCGTCTGAGAGCGAAGAACAGGGCGCTGCAAGAACCACGAGTCATAGTTGCCGGCTTAGAAGCAAGCAGGGAGGAGCTTCATCCGCCGTTGGTGGCTCCTCAGAAGCACGATGATTCGATGAGAGTGCCAGTGTTTGTGATGCTGCCATTAGACACAGTGACGATGGGAGGGACTCTGAACAGGGCACGGGCCATGAACGCCAGTCTAATGGCCCTGAAAAATGCAGGAGTAGAAGGAGTAATGGTGGACGCTTGGTGGGGTTTGGTTGAAAAAGATGGCCCTCTGAAATATAACTGGGAAGCCTACGCTGAACTTGTTCACATGGTACAAAAGCATGGATTAAAGCTTCAAGTCGTCATGTCCTTCCATCAATGTGGAGGAAACGTCGGTGACTCCTGCAGGTACATATACACGTTCACATGTATTTCTATCCATATCTAGCTTCAAGTTACATTCTCTGTTTCCTAACAGTTTTCTTTGGGTTTCAATTTTCAGTATTCCTCTGCCTCCTTGGGTGCTTGAAGAAATCAGCAAGAACCCTGACCTGGTTTACACAGACAGATCTGGGAGGAGAAATCCTGAGTATATCTCTTTGGGGTGTGATTCGATTCCTGTTCTGAGAGGGAGGACGCCTCTTCAGGTGTACTCTGACTTCATGACTAGCTTCCGTGACAGATTCAGAGATTACTTGGGCAGTGTTATCCAAGTAAGTATAACAATTAATTCTCCAAATTTGATGCAGAACGGTGAAATAAGTTTTTGAGCTGTAATTTAATAACCATGTTTTGTTGCAGGAAATTCAAGTAGGCATGGGTCCTTGTGGAGAACTCAGATATCCATCTTATCCAGAAAGCAATGGAACTTGGAGGTTTCCTGGGATTGGTGAATTCCAGTGCTACGACAAGGTACAGTAAAACTCATTCTGTTTCGCATAAAATAAGATCACCGAAGATGTAGGACTTGTGATTTGATTTCTGAATTGTGAATTCTGATTATTACAGTATATGAGGGCGTCGTTGGAAGCAGCAGCAGAAACTGTGGGGAACAGAGATTGGGGGAGAAGTGGTCCCCACGATTCTGGCCAATACAATCAATTTCCGGAAGACACTGGATTCTTCAGACGTGAAGGAACATGGAACTCCGATTACGGAAGCTTCTTCCTCACCTGGTACTCCAACAAATTGATCGAGCACGGTGACAGGATCCTCGAATCCGCCGGCCGGATATTCCAATCCAGCGGAGCCAAACTCTCAGCCAAAATAGCCGGCATCCATTGGCATTACACGACAAGATCGCACGCCGCCGAGCTAACCGCCGGCTACTACAACACCCGATTCCGCGACGGCTACCTTCCGATCGCACAGATGCTAGCGAAACACGGAGCCATCTTCAACTTCACGTGCATGGAGATGAAGGATTCGCAGCAGCCTCATCACGCGGGCTGCTCACCGGAGGGACTGGTTCGTCAGGTGAAGATGGCGACGAGAACGGCGAGAGTACAACTGGCCGGCGAGAACGCGTTGGAAAGATACGATTGGGATGGGTACGGACAAGTAATGGAAACGAGTAGATCGGATTGTGGGAACGGATTGGTGTCGTTCACGTATCTGAGGATGAACAAGAGGTTGTTCGAAGAGGAGAACTGGCGCCACTTTGTGGGTTTTGTGAGGAGTATGTCGGAGGGTGGCCGGAGACAGAGACTTCCCGATTATGATTCGCGAGGGACTGATCTTTACGTTACACACTTCAGAGGGATTCCGAAGAAGAAGCATGTTCAAGAGGAAGCCCTGGTGTGAATTTCTTGTGTACGGTTATTTTCTCATGTAAGGATCTAAAGAATATATAGGAATTAATACAGAATACGCTAAGAACCTGAGATGATCTTCAGGATATTATTATTTCATTTCGTCTATACAATATCCTCCTTTAATCTATAACTCAATTACGTCCAGAGTAATATGAAGTTGAACAATTTTGTGGGGATTGTGCATGCTTGTTGACACTGTGCACCCAATATTAATACTACCTCCGCTCTTAATTATAAGAGCCAGTTAACTAATTTGAAAAGATTAAGGAAGTAAGTTGAGTTAATTATTTGTCCTAAATAAGTATTCTCTTTCCTAAAATATCCTTGCTAATCAAGTGTATTGACTAGAATTCTTATTATTAAAATGGTTACTTTAGAAAAAAATATATAAATATAAGAGACAAAATGGATTGGAGCCTTATATTTATGACTAAAATAAAAGTCAAACAGGTTTTATATTAAAAATCGGAGGTAGTATTAATTAATATGATTCTTCCGTATTTAATTTGACATACTTTATTCTCCAGTTTAATCTGCTCTTCGTTTTCTTTCTTTTCAAATTTTGTCTCCATCCAAATAGAGTATAAAGTTAGTTCAGATTATTTTGCTCCTTTGGGTGAATTCTCCCATGAATGTAACAATCCAGTCTCACTACTCGCCATGATGGTGCTGTTGTGAGATACGTCACATCCTGAAGAATTAGCCTTTCCTGCTACAATTTATATAATTCAAATTTAAAATTTTTAACTTCCACAGCGATAATAGGTGCAAGCAACCCATACTTTATCGGTTTGGGCCTTCATAATCTTGGGAGACCGGCCCATTATAATAATTAAAGGAAAGTACTAGAGGCTCTTGGAATAGTACAAAGAGATTTCTATATTTAGTATTTGATAATACTTTTAAAAAATTATCAGTAATAAAAAGATATCTATGCCGGGCAAAAGAAAATATCTTATTTGAAACAATCTTATTTAATGTACTGTCAGATATTAAATGGTGGCACCTCTTGTAGGGAAGATTTGAATCTTGTAGTGAGATGCTTAGAATAATACGAAGAGATGCTTATATTTAGTACCCAATAATACCTCAAAAAAATTATCTCTAATAAGAAGATATCTATGCCTGACAAAAGAAGAAAAACTATTTCACTTTTTTTAAAATCTCTATGGGTATCTTTTTATTTGAAACAATCTTATTTAATATACTGTTGAGTGTTAAATGGTGGCACCTTTTGTAGTGAGGATTTGAATCTTGGTTTTTTTCTCATATTATAAGGGACTAATTCTTTCTGCTAGACCTAATCCTGGTTGGTGAACTATTTTACTCTATGCGTATCTTTTTATACACAGGTTTAACAAAAAAAAAAAAACCAAGATATTGACCCACTCTCTTTATTTTAATAAAATAATAATCAATGTATAAATAAAATCATTTTCTTTTTTCCTTAAAAAAATTTTAGGCAATGGCTCAACCCAAGCCAACATCAGGACACCTGATCCAAATCCTTCTAAAGGATATCATGTTGACTGATCTAACATGCCTCCCCAAACAGCGCGAAATTGAACTCCTTCCATTTTTACTGAGAGGATGTTATTCTTACTGTTAAACTTACATATGATGGGTAAAACGTTCTCTCTTTGTTGGCAAGCAAAGAAAAACGTTTTCCTTTTGTTCCAGGCCATGGACCAATCAATTTAAAAAAACACCCATTGAAAGCCGACGTTGGAGGCAAAAAGCCAATAAAAAATTATCCTCCGATCCTAAATATAAGACTTATTTAACTAATTTGATTAGATTAAGAAAATTAGATAAGTTAGGTAATTATAAGAAATATGGCATGTTTTTCCTAAAATACTATAATAATCTTTTTTAATATCCTTCCTCCCTTTTCTACTTAATTATGATTGAGGAAGTATCTATAGAGGTAATTTAGGAAAATTTGATAAATATGATAAATATGTCTTATATTTAGAACCAAAATTAACTCAATAATTAGACCATATATTTAGGACAAGAGGAGTACTGTTTATAGATTCGTGAATCATGCAACTTCTAAACTCGGGCTTTGTGGATTGATGAGCCTGGCCTAACTTTTAAACTCTGAAGCATTAATATTGATATGAACGTTGAACCTGTGCAATGAAAAAAATAGAATAAAATTATGTCCAAAAGTAAAAGATTCGTACACGTTGAGGGTAGATCATTAAGAATCTTAATGTCAAAATTATCATGATGAGTTTGGCAATCCACGCCATATTGCCATAATTTGCCTCCTTTGAAGATATGATCAAGTGTGATGATCCAATCTTGCATGGAATCGCAGTAGATATTGACCTGAGCTAGCTTTTCTTCCCAGCAAAAACTAAAACCCTTAAAGATAGATACAAGTTTAGCTGTATAGTTTCGGAGTGGTATCCCAAATATTTGGTGAAACTTTTAATCCATTGTCACTCCTATCTTATCAAAACCTTTGCAAGTTGCTGCTTTGTTTTGATTAATTGAGCTCTCCACGTCTAGTTTAAACCAATAAGATTTAGATGCTTACCATTTGGAGTGCACATCTCCGCATCTTAGAGCCAATAAGTTCTCTATAGTCTCGAGTTTAGGATTTGAGGTGTTTGTTTACCTTCTCAAAAATATTTTTGTATAAGTCGAGATAAAATTTCTCTCATATGCTTATTTTGTATATCTTAAGATCACTTCAGAAAAGTTAATCCAAATACGCTAATAATCAATTATGCACTAGATGCTAATGAAGGCAATGTTTCCTTCAAGGGTCATGTCATATAACTAAAGGATTTTGCACTTGGATTTCCATATTTTCTAGCAAGGGTGAGCAAATAATCTTTGCAAATTGACTTTTCTTATATTTGAACTCACTAATTCATTCTTTGCATTCCATCAAATCCATTCTTGAAAAGGGACAGAAAAGAATAAGATTAGATTAGAATGTTTAATCAACCTACCACAAACTTCCCTAGCTTTATTGCTCTCCATGAGCATATGAAGGGAGAAACTGAGGGAGTTACAACTAAAATAAAGGACAAAGTCTTCTTGCAAATGTCATTTCCTTCTACATTGGCAAACTTTTGTTTGGAGACAACTTTAAGTATTTGGAAGTGAACAAAATGGAGTTCTAGGTTTCAGGAAGTTTAAAAGTTAAAAACATTGTTTTTTCGTTATGAAGCTTTATGAGAAACCATCACCAAACCTGACAACCTCTAGATGAAAGTTGTGACACTCTCTTTTGACAGAACATTTATACTTAGGATGTTTATTAAACTAGTTTATCAAAAAAAAAAAAACCTGTTAAAATAGAAAAAAAAACCAACTATGTTAATCATGATAGAAAAAAACTCAGTCCTTGTACAAATACAGAAAGTAACATTTATGTTGATCATGATTTTTTTAAAAAAAATGTAACTAAAAGGTCTATCATGATTATAAAGTTCGAACATAGCATACTTTAGTCTTTTAATTTTATATAAGATTTTAATATTATCTTTTAGTTTTAAAAAGTACGTTTAGAGTTTTTTAATCCTAAAATTATTAACAAAAATGATATGTCAAATGCTAATATATTAAGTTGAATTTTTAGAACAACCATCACTGTTACAAAAAATATTATTTAAAACTAATAATTTTAGAATTAAAGAACTAAAAATATATTTTTAAATTAAGGAATCAAATTGAAACCTCATATAAAATTAAAAGGCAAAATGTATATTTTTTTTTTTTTCCCCTGCTAGGCACATGAATCATCCTATCTGAGACAATCATATTCAAGACACTCTCAAGCACTAAATGTAGTTACTTCTTTCAATAAAAATTTAGATCCTGATTCATCATGTTTGTAAAGGACTAGCTTATTTGGCTAAATTTAATACTTGTATAATACTTCTTGGTCATATTAATTGAATCATTTAAAAGGATTCAATCAGACAATAGGGTCTAACATACACCCAAGGCCCAAAGCACTTAAGCCCAAACCATCAAGCCCACTGTAACAATCCAACATACAGCCAACTTTTGTAGATACTTCGTTCATTAACCAACAAAACAAAAGAAAAGGCTTCGAAGTAGATTCGCAATATTTAACGGTTTCCTAAGATCTCATGGCCGGAACTAATTCTCAAAACATCAAAACATCGTCGTTTTCAATATTTTAAAGCATAGTTTTCAAATCAAGTAACACTATCATGAGCATGTTCAAAATTATATTTGTATGGCAAAAGCAAATGATGAATCCCAAGTGAAAAAGGTAATCATATTATTAAACCATCCATGGTCATCTTTACCTCTTCACTTCCTAGCAAATCGTGACAATTTCAGCTAAATGTGGGTGGCTACAAATTATAGAATCGTGCAAATGAATGATACTTTTCCAGTGCTAAATATAAGACTAATGAGTAATTTATACTACAAAATTGATCTTACATTTAGTACTGAAAGAGTACTTTTATATTTACAAATCATATTACTTGCACAATTATATTAGTAATATTCCTCCAGCTCTTAATGTAAGACATAATTAACTAATTTGAGTAAATTAAGTATGTTAGTTACATTAGTTAATATGATATATAAAATATCCTAATCATCTTTTTTTATTCTCTTCCTATCAACAGGGTTAATTTAGAAAAAAAAAGTTATTAAATATGTAAAATAAATATTATATATAGGACAAAAATCAATTTTCGAATTAGGTCTTATATTAAGGATTGGAAGAGTATAATATTTTGGCATTCAATGGATCTAGTAAAACTTCATTTTTACTAATGCAATGCTTTTTACATATTTTAACAGATTCTATATATTAAAAAAAATAATTACAATCTTTTTTTTTTTGGGGGGGGGGATTTAACGTATTATAATATCTATCTTGGATGGCAAAAAGGAAAAATCATAATATCTATGTTGGGAAAATCACAATCACAGATCCTACCAGGGCGAACCCATGCCCATGAGTTTCAGTCCAAACACAAAACCCACAAGACATGAGAGGGCCAATATAATAATGCCTATGTTGACCCCATAAAAACGTTAACATCATTATTAATGTCTCGTAGTCAAGCCACCTGAAGAATCCGTATCCATCTTGGCCACGACTCAACTCATTCCACATCGATGCCCTTCCGTTACCTTATTTTAATATCTAATTAACTCCGTTCGTTCATACATTTAACGGCCGGATGTTATAGTCATATGTTGACTAAATCCCATCAATATCTAATATATTAATCCCCATATAACAACAAAATAACATTAATTTATTTCACCCCATATTAATAAAATTTAGTATCGCATTCAGACAGTGACATAAGCATATTATATAAATAACCTAACCCAGCCTGCCTCTCGTCAATCTCTCCCCCTGCTTTATTAACCATGGAAATCCTCAGCTGCAACACCGTTTCGACGTGTAAGTTATATATATACACAACAGCAATATTACTTTCTTTTTTTTTTGGTTCAATATTACTTAATTCATTTACTCAGTGGCTTCTAGAGGTCACAATGGCATGTTTTATCAGGGAAACTATGTCCTCTCCCCTCCTTGCTATGAGATTTGAAGCTCAATCCACAACAAATCATAAATGAATTACATCAAGGAAAGCCAGTGGAAGCAAAGACTCACTCAAGTTGTGACATAAGCTATATAGCCTCATCTTCATCTAAAATTCTCAATCCTCTAATACTGATTAACTGAACAAAAAAACAAAAAAGTATTGGAAACCAATGATTTATAAAGTAGGGGCAGGACCAGGCCTTTTTTTTGTACGGAGTCAAATCAACCAAAAGCTCAAAACTCCAGCCCCGCAGAATAAGGAAATCTACAATATCTCTGACCTTCTATGCTTGATAATGATTAATCAATCTCGGGTGATGCATAGATGATCTGTTCCACATTGCCAGGCATGCTTTACTCAAGACAAATCCACTCTTTGATCCTCCAAAATCCATTAAGTTATTTACCTCTTCGAGCCAAAGAAGATCGAGATGACCCGGCAGCCGCTGTCTGAGAAGCATCAGAGCTTTCTGAAACCTGCAACGCTTCCTTCAAGCTTGCAACTATCTGAGACATGGTTGGCCTGTCTTGAGGATTCTTACTTGTACAGGCATCAGCCAACTTGGCAACTTTGCGAACCGCGCCAGGAGAAAAATTGTTTCTGAGACGCGGGTCGATGATCATGCTGAATCTGCCAGTGTCAGCAGGATATTGTTTAACCCAAATTAGAAGTTTTTGTTCTGCAGCTGGACGGTTTCTGTCTAATGCTCGCCTCCCTGTGATGATCTCATACAGTACCACTCCAAAACTGTAAATGTCACATTCAACTTTGAGATGCCCCGTTTCTACATACTCCGGAGCAGCGTATCCTTGAGTTCCAACCACCTGATCATACCATAAGACCACATAGTATCAACCTCCGACAAACTTTTGCAATCCACAAAAGACGCTGCTGCTGCTTAGATCATAGTTTACTGGTTATTCATGAATCAAGAAACTTAAACAATGCATAACAATTTCAGGCATCCAAAGACATGGAATTAGTGATACGTGAAACAAAATTCTCAGCTCATCTTACCGCTGTAGAGACATGAGTATTATCGCCTTGGGGGCCTTCCCTTGCAAGACCAAAGTCTGAGAGCTTTGGGCGGAAATCCTCATCCAATAGAACATTTGAAGTTTTGAAATCTCGGTATATCACCTTAAGATTAAAAAAAAAAAAGAAAAAAAAAAAGAGGTACATTAAAAATATAATCAGCAAAAACGGGTACTGAAAAATTCAATATCTTTCTGAAGCATGAAATTGGAATTCCATAGAGCCTGCTATATCATCCTCATATATACATATCAAACTAGATAATGTTTCTGTAGTTCTTACCATGAAGAAACCAACACTATAGAAACACCCCGTGGGTATGACTTAAAGAATGCATGACCATAAAAAATGGTTCAACTCTCACTCCAAGGGACAAAATGAAGTACCTGAAATTCCAATCCTTCATGCAAATAAGCCAATCCTTCTGCGGCACCGATCATGATCTGCAGTCTTGTTTTCCAAGGCAAGGTAGGACGAGAAGGATTAAAAAGATGATGTTCTAGGCTTTTATTTGCCATATACTCATACACCAACAACCGTTGGATCCCTCTTTCTCCATCAACTGAGCAGTATCCCAGAAGTTTTACCAGATTTGGATGATTTACAACGCCAAGAAATTGAACTTCAGCAAGCCATTCTTTGTGACCCTTTTAATAAATTTTAAGCAACCGTAAGAAACAAGTAAACATACGCATTGTATATGTTATCGTGTGCAGCAACAAGCCAGTAAAAAACAAATGCAAAGATCGGGAGCATGTCCAACATTTAAGTCAGGAATTATCAATATCAAATATAACGTTGTTTATCCCAAAAAAAAAAAAAATCCAAGATAATGTTCATGAAGATCATTTTGAGAATACTCCCGAAGTATAAGTCCGAATAATGGAAGTTTCATTGTTAAGCAAAATTGAATCATTATCTCATGATGTAATATTCAGTAGACATGAAATGCAGAACAATCATTTAGTCTGCCAACAAAGCTTATGAACATTTTACTTCCATTTTACTCCCATTGATATAATACGGAGGCTTAGTAAACGGGAATGAGAACAATCCTTATGCTTATCCAAGAAAAATAACATGCATGTTTAGGCATTTTTCACGCACAACAAAATCCCCCACTGAATTGACAAAAGCGCCTATAACTTCCTGTACGGATTTTAACAAAATAGCAATAGAGAACAAAGTATCATATAATCCGCAACAGTTAAAGAACAGAAGGGTTCCAGCCATTTCTTCATTAGAGCCACCAGATCAAATAATAGTTACTGAGAGGCGCACCTGAAAGCCATGCTTGTTGAGCTTTTTTATGGCTACGACGACTGGATCGCCTCGTCCACCGGGAGGCCTAATCGTACCTTTATACACGCTCCCAAAGCCACCTTCACCAATCTTGAGCATCTTATTGAAGCCATTCGTTGCTTCTAGCAGCTCTTGCCAACTAAAAACTCTGAAATTGTTCTCTTTGGCTTTCTCTTTGTACAGCTCAGTCAAGCTCCTCGGCGACGGTATCGAACTCGTCGACTTGGATACCCGGTTCACCGCCGGGTTGTTACTCTGCCTCTCATTTTGCAAATCCGGGGCCGATTTTGATTCTCTCCTCCGATTACATTTCTTTCTGAAGAAGAAACAGCTCATTTTCTAAGCACTCATATACCTAAATCCCCAATTCAACACTCCGATGGCGGGCCCTCAAGCACTCATGCGATCGTGCCTATCAAATGGGGTCGAGGTCGAGGTTGATGCTCCCAGAAAACAAGAGGGAGAGAGGTTGAGCACGAAAAATGAATCGAATGGAAAAGGAAGGCAAGACCCAGAAGAGAAAATGGAGAGCGGATGAGATATATACACACACACACACAGAGATACCCACACAAAGAGGGAGTTGAAGAATATGAAAGAAAGGGAAGAAGTCTAGGGCGATTGAGGATTGAGAATTTTGGAAAGGTATTATTACGTGAAGTGAAAGAAATAAGAAGAGAGAATATTATGAACTCAGGATGAGGAAGGGAAAGCCCGTGGGCACCCGGAAGATCAATCGGGTGAAGAAGTTCGGGCCCGCGTGAAGGGAGATGAATGGATAGAGATAGCACTGTATAAGAAAAACAGGAAAGATTGAGACAGAAGTGAGAAGCAGCTAATTTAGAGCGCGTGTGAACAAGAAAACAAGCCAAAGACCACGAAGACCTTTCAAAACAGGGAATGGAAGGCACTTTCCGCGGAGTCAGATCACCTAATTGTGCAGATCACGGCATCACAGTGCCCCAACTTCTGTTTGGGTTTGAATTCGCCATGATTAAGCTTTGTAAGAGACAACAATCAATCATAAAAGGGTGGTGGAAGAACTTGTTTTGGTGCAGAATATAAAATTTTACTTTCTAATTTTTTAACATTTTTTAAACTCACCCTATAGTCATTGTTTGCACGTGTTTAGAAGATTTTTTATTCAAAAAGTAAGATTAAATATAAATAATTTAACAGGATATTTTTTTTAAAGAGATCTACCCATATTTATTATAAATAAATAATTTAATCAATCTTTTAATTTTTACAAATTATTTAGTTATCTTTTATAATAGGACAGAAGAGTAGTAAGGGCTAACATATAAATTTGTTTTAAAAGCTTTTACTTAAAAGTGATAACAATCTAAAAGCTTTTTTCCACAAGGTTGCCTCAAAAATTAAAAATAATAGTAATATTGTTGTTTATTATTAAAAATACTAACGGTCAATGTCAGTATTTTAACTATTAGAGTTAATTTTTTAATAAGAAGGAATAATATTGTTGTGGTTTTAAATTTTTGAGGTAAATCTGCACTTAAAAAAATTTCAGAGTGCCCAGTGCTTCTAAGTTCTGAATGAAAATTTTCTGAATAAATTTGCTTCTTAACCCATATATTAATTATACATTTTTTTACATAGTTTTTCATAGGTATTATTATGCACGCACATGTGTATTAAATAGTAATCTTGATATATTTATCAATATAAATTAAAATTCATAACACGTAATATTTTGAACAAGTTAAACAATGTATCATCGTTAATGAAAGATATTAATATTAATTATGCTTAATTTTTTATCTTGAAAATATTTAAAAATTTTAATTTATATCATATTTTTTGTCTGAAATAAAAATCTTGTTTATCTAATTATACAGAGCAAAGAAAGGAGCACTTAAATTAAAGTTAACCCATTAAATTATTACATAAAATTACAGCCTTTTTTAAAATTATCCTTATTAATTTCAAATATAATTATATGAATGTTGTTCCTTCTTAAATTAGAAAATACTACCTCCGGTCCTTAATATAACACCTCGTTTGAATTTTATTTTAGTTCTAAATATAAAACCCTAATCTACTTTATCTCTCATATTTATGCTTTTTTTCAATATAATCCTTCTAATAATGGTAGTCCTAACCAATATACTTGATTAGCAAGGGTATTTTAGAAAAGACAACCTACCTTTATTACAAATAATTAACTTAACTTATTTTTTTAATTTCCTCAAATTAGTCAATTAGCTTTTATAATTAAGACCAGTCAATAAAGAAAAAGGAATATGGCAAGAATAAAAGCAAATATGTTTTTCTCTAAAATTTTACACAAAAAGTTTTTTTTTTAATTTTGGGCTTGAGTTCAATTTTCTTCGCTGAGTTGTACTTGTCCAGGATTTCTTCAACCGCATATAATTCTTACACACAGAAAATTGGCATGCAGACAGTAAAATCAACTTGAGAAGCGGCGTAAGAATCAAATCATTTAAGGAGCAACGCATCCGCTTTTTGTTTCTTTTTATATGAACAGTCAGCCCTGCCGTGTTCATTATTTCTTAGAATGGGATCTTTGACGTTATGTAATACTGCTACAGTCTTTAAATTAAAAAAATTAGATAAGTTAATTAATTATAAAAAATATCACATATTTTTTTAAAATACTATAATCATTCTTCTTAATATCCTTCCTCTCTTACTTACTTGATTATGATTAAAAGGAATATCCACATGGATAATTTAAAAAAAATTAGTTTTATATTTTGAATCAAAATTAACTTAATAATTAGGTCCTATATTAAGGACAAGAGGACTCCTCCGGTCTTAAATATAAGACCCATTTTGTAGTGTAATTTACACTACAAAATGAGTCTTATATTTAGGACTAGAGGAATAATTCTTAATATTTTATACTACAAAATAGGTCTTATATTTAGAACTAGAAGAGTAATTCTTAATATAAAAGATAGATAACTAATTTGAAGATATTAAAAAAATTAATTAAGTTGGTTGTTTGTCATAAATGATTGTTGGTCTCCTTAAACTATCATCTTCAATAACATGCATGGGGTGGTTGAAATTATCCCTCCGTGGGGATCTCTTACATTTAGTAGGGGATATTTTGGAAAAAAGTGGAAGATAAAATAGTCTACAAACAATGTCTTATAATTAGAACCGGGAATAGTATTTAGAACCAAATCACATCTATAACTAGCTCTTATGTTAAAAACTAAATGTAATAATTAAATGCGGAAAAAGCATATGCAGAAAATTAAAAAAATCAAGGTTTTTTTTTGCCACAGTATGAAGCTCCACTTGCATTTAAATCTTTGATTGGAAATTGGGAATAAATATCTCATTAAGAAATTAGCTTATATAATATGTAAGTAGAGTTTTCTAATCTATGATTAGCCTGCCTATAAACAGACTAGTCATTTCATATCCTCATTTATTTACTGTTTAGCCTAATTCCAGAAATTTCCCCTTTAATTTGTTAATATGGAATTAAGTGGTTAATTTAACACTCTAAAATATTTTTTTAAAGGCATCTAATACCTTGTCCTATGTTTGCTATGAGGAAAAGGGAGGGGAGAGAAAAATTTTATGAGTTCAGTTTGAAAAAAATTGGAGAAGTGATATTGTAAAATTTTAATTAAAAAAATGTAAGGTAAAAGAGCATGAAAAATTAATTAAAAATTTTTATCCTCATTTCTTTACCTTTTTAAATTAAACACGTTAACATTTTCCCTTCCCTCTCCTTTCTTGCGAACTCATTAACATCTCCCCTCCCCTCCCCTCCCCTTCAAACTCATTAACATTTTCCCTCCCCTCCCCTCCTTTCCATATCTCTCATACCAAACAAATTAAAGTATTTTATGACTTATCTAACACTTTAAAATTTTTTCATATGCATCCAACATACTAATTTAGGGTTCAATGTTAGATTACTCAAGATGTTAGATGTACCTGAAAGATATTTTAAAATACTGATGAAACCACAAAATATTTTAACATGCTGAATGAATCGCTAAATATTTTAGGACGGTGAATGTGGGGGGAAAAAAAAAAGTGCTTCAAGTTGCTAAATCAAGCTTAGCTCACATGAAATAAGATTAATAAAACGCTCAAAGTTCAACAAGCTATGCATAATGCGGTCAAAAAAAAAAAAAAAAACTTTAATGTAACTTTATGTGTTTGACTCTATAGTTTCAAATATAATAACACATCCACAGGCTTCCGTGCGTAAAAACCTTTTGAGACGTGCCTCGTATAGTATGTTTGACGGGAAGAAGAGCCTTTGCGTTGGAAAACTTTTTAAATCCATCGTCTAATAAAGTGAACACAAGTTATGGAAATAATTTTTTAAATAAAAATTATTTTTTAAAAAAACTTATAATTAAGATATTACATTTATTTTAGATTATGTATCCATTAAAAAGAAAATATTTTTTAAACACCAAAAATATTAAATATTAAATCTCATTGACTACTTTCTGTTTTATTAAAATTACAAAAACCCCTCCTCTGTTTTGAAAACATATATAAACCTTCTTTAAAATGAAAATTTATGTTATATAAACTTTATTTTTAAAATTCCATTTTCATCCATCCAACGGTTAATTGACTGTCAATTTTAAATTTTAAATTTTTATTTTTGACCAAAATATCTTTTTTTTAAACATAAACATTATTTAAACATTTATTTTGATAAAAAATAATTTTTGATTAAAAAATTATAATACATGTAGTTTCAAAATTCTTAACAGGTTATAAAATTTTTAATTTTAACTATATTATAGAATTATATAATTTTAATTCTTCATGAAATATTAAAACTTAAAGTTTCTTTTAAATGGCTAGAAAACATTTTAAATGCTTATTTTTTCTTCATATAATATAAAGTATGTGAGTTTGAAAAATTGTATAAATCATTTAAAATTTTAATTTAATTTTTTTAAAAAAATTGCTGCAAACATTTATAACTTATTTAATTTGATCGATTACATATTTAGTTAAAGAATTAATCAAATTTCTATTTAATTTTTTTTATGTTTACATTAACTAAATTACTTCATTTTCTGGCCCAATATGATAAAAACATTAAACAAGCAATAATTTATAAAAATAAAAAATAAAATTAAGGTGAAGGAGAAAATCTTAAATTCTTCAAGATAATTTTAGCCAAAATTAGAGATTTAGTATTATAAAAAGTAAATTGGTAAATATAAAGTATATATAAAGTATTTTTAATTAAAAAACATCTTTTTTTAAATATTCTTAACGGTTGAACTTAAGTGTATGCTTTTAAAATAAAAGAGAGGTCCATGTAATTAAGACAAAATACAAGAAATGTTAGAGTATTTTACTCTTTTAATTATAATCTTACCTTTTAGGTGTAATTTTATCTCTGATCTTTTTAGTAATATAATCTTAATGATGATATAATTTTTATGTACAATTTTACCCCTTATCTATGGTTGCACTTTACCCCTTAAGGTTAAAATTACACACACAAAAATATTAAAGGTAAAACTGCGCTTGAATAAGACTAGGGTTAAAATTACACATATATCCACAATTAAATGATTGATTTTCTTTGTTGTTATTTTATCTCAATAATTATTACCGCCTTAATTTTAAACATAATGCAGATGAAAATATAATTCAAGCATTAACGATAAATATTGTCTAATAACTAATGTTCAAAACTGTTAGGCTGTTAGCATGTACTATCTCCAATCTTTAATATAAGAACTGGTTGACGAATTTGAATAAATTAAGAAAGTTTATTAAGTTAGTTATTTATAACAAATAAGTAATGTCTTCCCAAAAATATTCTTACAATCAAATGTATTAACTTTAACATTTGATAAAATCTCTGACATGCATAACAAATATAAATACTACTTTAAAAAATGAATAAATATGAGAGACAAAGTATATTAAGATCTTATATTTATGATCAA